ACTAAAAACCAGTATAAAATCTGTACTTTTTCTGAGGAAAGAGTAGTGCTTTACTACCAAATCAAAGTGCCAGAAAATAATGGATGAGGCATCCCGAACAAGACAGTTACTCTTATACCTGAAGTTTCTGTGTCCCACTTTGTGAAAAATTATTACAGCAGAAGTTACTTATGAAAAACTACCAAATAATAAATGCCTCCTAATGAAAACTTGAAAACTGCACTTTGGATGCTTTCCACTCCAAAAAGCCGAGGACAAGCCTGGACTCCTAGAATCCTATGTCTCAAAATTAAGAAGGTGATGATGTGGAAGAGGATTGGAGCACAGACTATTACTTTAGAATGCATTGCTAAGCATATTACAATGTATGTTATAGAGCAGTAACTGATAAATTGTCTTTTTAGTATCTTTCTACATGCTTTAAGAAGCACCCTGTCTTTCTTAATATTTATACCACCTATCACCCAAGTTTGTCCAGAATATATAAAAAATACAAACAGTAAGAAGATATTTTCAATTTAACTTTTCTGAGAAATAGTTCTCAACAAGTGGGTTTCATTCATAGAAAATAACCTGTTACTGAACTCAATAAGAAGGGTCCTTATTCTTAAAACCACTGGAAAGGACAGCTGAATAGTCTTTAGGTCTAAGAAGACACATGTGCAGTGCTGCAACGAAATTCTGAATGGATCAGAGGACTGGGAGACATAAACAAGTCATGGAAGAATCACAAATTTACCACTTTTAGATAGAAGATTACTCTTAAGAAAAATAGAAAAAAGGAACAGAACATGTCTGGATGGGATCGATGCAAACCAGAGAATATTCAACAGGATAAAGCAAGAATTTAGATACAGAGAAGAAGGTCAATGACACCCAAAACATCTCTTTCCCTCATTTTCATGCTCATTGTTATCTCCACTAGATCATAAAGCACCAGAGACTACTTCAAAGATAATTACAATTAATAATTAAATTGCACTGTTAAGAAAAAAATAAAGAGTTGTGGCAGATAAAAAATTTCAGTGTTCTACCTGAATATAAACTCCACTCTACCCTCCTAATTTGTATTGCTCCAGCCAGAGATTTTTCAATATGATTAAAAACAGAAAAAAAAAAAGGAGAGGAAAGGCTGACCACCACTTCAAATGGCAATTCTATGGCTCTACACTAATACACAAATGCAGTGTGCTTCTGTACCATTCCAGAATCTCAGCCACCTCTAAGAAAATACACCAGTCTACAACCCTTGCTTTGGGGAAAACAATTCTTTACGTGTGAGCTGAAAGAAGAACAAAGCAATCCTCTGGAGTCCTCTGGCAGACAACTGTGAAGTTTATACTGCTGCTGCTATTGGGTAGTCTGCATAGTTTTCTCTATTGTTATTAGGAAACCTGTAGCCAAAAAAATGGAATGAAAATTGAGGAAATTCCTGTCACGGTATTGCTGAAATCTCTCAGTAGCTCTGAAGGTAGAGACTGGCAACATTCCTTAGAAAGGAGATCCCCGAAAGCAAATTCAATACTGGTTCTTGGTGTCACTACTGTAACCACCAGAACACTGAAATAAGAAATCAGGAACAAATAACGTATTTCTCCTTTCTTTTGGAAAATACTTTGAAGTTTATCTGTTACCTATGGCATAGAGAAACTTTAAATTTCATGCTGCAGAAGCGAAATTACAATTTCCTTGCAAGTCAGTAATAGTGAAAGAGGCAGAAAACAAGTGTTCCCATAATTTTTCTGCAGGAGTAACGATCAACAGTACTCTCCCTTTCCTCATGCTTAACATGCCTCCTCTAAATCCAAGTGGATTTGCCTATCATGCTCTATATTTTAGGTGTGATTATCAATTAAAAACCACAGAAATTGCTGCAGATGGAAACATCGAACGTCTAAACTTGTATTCCTCCACATCAGGAAAGAATTCCCATTTAACAGGACTATTTTGTTAGTGTAAATTTCTGCATATTTGGCTTATAACTTTGAAACATTATTGCAGAAAAGTAAATTCAGTGCAGTCTCACTAATTCCACTTGCGAACTACATTAAATAACAAAAATAAGGTACTTTCCACACGTATAAATTCTAACAGTCCAGACACTTCAAGAAGAGTAATCATGCATGTCCTGTATATCAATGTATATGCGATATGTATCAACTATTAGCAGTGCTCCAGAATAACAAATGCAGCTTTATAAAGAGTCCAATATTATAGTCCTGGGGTCTTTTTCACATTTCTGCTAAACAGTCTATACAGTACAGCAGAAAAAATAATGACACATTAGATATGCAGAACTGGACAAAAAACATGTACTAGTATGAATCACTGTGCTCAGAACAGCATTACCAGAAAGGCAACAGATAAATCATTCAAGGAACAACCTTCCAGAAAGAACACTTTGTTTTCACTGGAGAATAAAACAATAAAAATATTAAAGGAAGCACTTTTACAGTAGACTGATTGACATATTTCTTCACAGTAACATCTGTTATACTAAATGAGTGAAAAGTAGTATCTTACTGGACATGGGGAATCAAAATCAAAATTCTGAACAACTATCATACTGGAAAGCAATTTATTTAATTTAAATGTACGTTTGGCCTGACTGGTAGTCAACATAAGCATGACAGCACTAGAAATGTCTATGTACATGTACGTATACACACACACACATATAAAGGTACATATTTAACCACAACAGTTTTCATCAGACTGAGTTCAACTGGTGACAGATCTAACATCCATTTGGCCTATTCTCCATCTGTTTTACACACTTAAGGCAGGGATGGACAAAGATGTCTTCCTCCTCCTCTTTGCCAGCCTTTAAGAAAACACTTCCAAAAACATCAAGTAAATACTTTTTGGTTGTTGCTTACACAGACTTCAAGAGAGTCCATGAAGTATACCATACTCAGACTAGTTACAGATACAACTCTAAGCTCATGTATTAATCATCATCTTGAAATAAAAGCTGCTGTATTTCCAACTCTATACACTTTTATCCCCGTTTTTGTCCCCATTATACCTGTTCCACAAGTCTGGCACTCTCATGCTTGTCTAGCTTTTGGATAACGATGATTCTAACATCATTAGGTTGATCCAATATGCTGGCGTACATTTCAAGATTGCATATTGCCAAAAAACTCATATGTGTGTGTGTGTGTGTGTGTGTGTATAGCTAGAGATATATATCTATTTATAGATGCTCTATGCCTTTACTTTTTTCTATAAAGTGAACACCCCTAATAAGTACCTCTCAAATAACATCTGAAAGCCTTCTTTTCCCTTTGCTTCAAATCACTACAAACTTTAACAGCTCTTACTAGATCTGCTCCAGTATTAATCATCCCATTTGGACTTGGACTACTCTCAGAAATTTTCTATCACCACCATCCATATTAGATTTTCTTCACACATGGGTGCACACTTGCATACTCTTAGGGTTTCTATCACATCATCAGTCCTGAAATGAACACATCAAAATGAACGTGCCCCCAAATAATGGGGAAACACAAAACCAGTTGATTAACTCAGTTTACCCATCATGGAACACTGAAGCTTCAAATGGGGATGCTATCCAGTTAGTCCTGCTGTTGGAAAGAGAACTCATAAGCAAAAAAAGTGTGGGAGTTGCGTATGAAACCTATCTTTTCTTGAGTACTTGCTGGCTGGACAGGTGGCCAAGGTGCATTAGACAATGACTAATCATCACCTTGACACTTTCAGCTGCCTGCACAAACCTCACTATATTCTGTGCAGAGTTCCGGAAACATAACTGAGTGACTGCATTTCACCACCAAACCCTTTAAAGGTATAAGGGACGGAATATGACAGCTGTTATTAACCAGAAAGAGTTTCTGAACATCAGAACTTCAGATTAATTATTTAAAACAACAAGCAGTATTTTGTTCACACAGTACGTCTATTCTAGAACATGTAATAAAAAACCAAAACCCAAGATCCTGCAGCAAGAGAAAACCTGCAAGAGGTATGTTCTGTGTAATACAGGTATTGCAAAATCTCCAATGCTAAACTTATCCCTCTACTTGAAAAACTCTGCTTACGAGTAGTTAATTTCTTTTACATATATTTTTCTTTGTTATCATCATGGTAATTTGGCAGAATTTAGCAGACTATTGACCTATGCCATCAGGAGATGTGATTATAGCAATTTTGCAAGACTACAACAGCGGATTTTTGGATGTATCAGTGAAACTGTAAAAGCTCAACAGCTAAAAATATTCGAATTTCAAGAGACTTTTTTTTGCATTATAATTAAAAGCTATACAATAATCAAAAAATCCTCAAAATAGCAATAACAATCCACAATAACATCAATAATTTTATTCGTATAACAGAAAAAAAATTAGCGCTTTACAAACGCTAAAGGTTCCTTTCAAATGCAGATAATAAGGTTCATCATCACCTTCGTATCAAAAATGTAACCTCAGTCCCAAACCTTTAAAGAAGCCTTTCAGAAATACTCATTTTATGGTGAGGCGAAAGAGTGCGGGCTAGGCCGGGGCCTGGAAGCGGAGTGGAATCAGGGAAATGCAGCCCCGGCCTCCCCTCCTCGCCCAACGCTAACCCTGCCCGGCACCCCCCGAGCCACGGCTGAGTCCTCCCGCTGCACCGAGCCCGGGCTGCTCTCGGCGCTGCCCCTACAAAGGGAAGACACGCCGCACTCCCGACGCCTCGGCACAGTAAAAGAAAGAAAGAAAGAAAGAAAAAAAAGAGAAGAACCAAATCGCCCTCACTAAGCCCTCCCTCAAAAGCAGGTCTCTTTACACCAGACCTAACCACGGCACCCACCCTTCCCCCACCACGAAGCCACCTCTCATTGTCGTCGCCCCCAGAGGGGACTCATTACCCCCCTCCGTATACACACACACGCCCGCCTCCCCCATTCCCCAGTCTGTGCCGTGCCCCTTTACTGGTCGCCAGAAGGGAAGCGCAGCCCGCGGGCCACATTCCCCCCGTCACAGCCCTGCACGCACCTTCCAGAAAGGAGCTGTCTCTGCAGCCGCCGCCGCCGCCACCGGCCATCTTCCCGCTGCCGCGCCGCGCTCCCTCACTCCATCGCCCAGCGCAGCGGCGGGGCCCGGCCCTTCCCCCGGCCTGCCCGCCCCCACTGCGGAAGGCTGGCTGACCCGCAGCGGCGGCAGTGCCGCCGAGGCCCGGCCCTCTCCCGCTCCCCGGGCCGCGCTGCCTTCCGGCCCCCGCGCAGGAGGAAGCGGCGGCGGCGGTAGCGCGCCCGCTCCTCCCTCAACGCCCGCCGCCGGCACCCCCCGAGCGGCTCCAGCCGGGCCCGGCAGAGCGGCTGCCGATGGCGCCCGGCGGGGCCGATGGGCCTGGCCGGGACTCCGCCGCAGGCGCCTCCGAGAACGCGGGGAGGACGAGGGGACGGTGCGCGCAGCGCTGCCGCCCCTCTCTTCCATGAACGGCACTTCCCTGCCCGGACCCGCGGCTCTCCCGGCCCGGGAGCTGCCGGCTTTCCCGGCCCCCGGACGGTAAAATGGCCGCAGCAGCGCTGCAGCCGGTAGTACCTCGGGCTCTCCCGCTCCCTCCTCGATCAGCCTGGAGGCAGCAGCTTTTGGGAGGCGAGGAGGTGGATCGGATAAAATGAATGGAGTTTGAGGAGTGCAGGAGTCCATTGCGCAGCGCTGGGGCCCGCTGGCCTCTCACCTCACTCCCGCTCCGGCAAAAGGTCTTGCCAAGCTTCAAAGACTCCTCTCAATCATAAAATCTTCTGAGGCCTGATCAAGGCATATTTAAATCCAAAACTTGGATTTTGCAAAATGTGCTGAAGTGAAATTGCAAGTCATGGCCCCATGTACATTTGATTTGTAAAAATCCTTTTTTAGTATGTAAGGTTTTACATTTTAAAAAAGCTGTCCCATGAAGCCTAAGTAGCAAAACCATGCCTACTTTAAAAACTCCAAGGTAAATTATGGCAGTCTAGAGCTATGGAAAACCAGATGCTCCTTTCTGGGGCAGGTTCTTTCATCTGGGATTCTAGTGACTGTAGAATTGGGAAATGTTTATATCTAATTTAAAGCACCTAGTTCCTAACACAACTCATCCCTGACAAGTGAGCTTTCAAAAATGCTTGAACTGAAGAGTTTGTAGACTAAAGTCCTAAATTAGGTAAGTAGAAGTACCTAGTGCATATGAAAATTAAAAACTAGAGAGAGGAAAGTTGTTGTTTTCCTTCTAAATTGGTTATTTTTGTTCCTGAGTTCTGTGTTGACATCGACCATATGCATAAGCCAGTGTGAGAGTGCTCAGTTTTTACACAATCAAGAGGCAAAAAGAAGGAGAGAAGAGTGCAGAGCTGGCCTGGAAGATGACAGGAGATGTCAGACTGCTCCCCAAGTGCAACGTCACATCACCAGAGCTAACAAGCAATTAGAAAGAATTCCAAAAGTTGGAACAGTGCTGGCAAACCTACAAATCTCAACCTTCAAAATCTCCTTAGAAAAAAAGGCTTTTTCTGAAAGAGAGATCACGAAATATTGGTTCATTAGTAATGGGATTAAGAGGAAACAATCAGGAAAAATTGGTGCAAGCTATTTATACAGAGACTAGAAAACCATATACTCAATAGAAACCTAATATTAAAAAAGCAAAACAAAACCAAAAACCGAAATGAGAATAAAGGAATTTTAGAATCTAATTTTCAAGAAATAATCTATTGTATCTCAGAAAAGTGTTGTCTAGACAGAAGGTTTGCTGTGGAGGTTACAGCATTAATCCACAAAAACAAATTCTTATTGATAGTTGAGACCAGACTAAAGTCTACCCAATTCTACACAACTTTTAAAAAACTGAGGATTATGACTTTTGATGATGAATTATTTGAATAAATGTTTGATACACAGTAGTGGGCTTTTGTTGATTGAAGCATCAGATACAGCTTCAGAGTCTTATTTTTAATGAACTGAGGCACAGCATAGATTAAAATACCTTTAAAAGCAGAAAGGACAAGTTATCAATATTCTAGATGCATGCTTGATTTTAGGCTTTTTGATTGATAACATAACATTTTTATGTAAAAGAGCTGCCCCAAAATTACATCTTATTCTACTGCTCTTTTTGTTTTATTTTGAAGCTCTTTAAGGATGCAAAAGGATAATACGTAGTCAAAACTCTTATTCATTTATTTTTCATTAAGTTTTTAATAGTAATCTTATTCTCTGCCTTAGAGTGGCTTGTTTTTCCATGGGAGAAGTATTTGCGAGGGGAATGAAATACTGAGAGCACTCAGGTCTTGCAAAATCTTTTCAGCATCCTCTTAACTTTGCTTGGAACCAGAGGATTTTCATTGTGTATGAGAATTGACTGAGTGATCACTGAAAAAGAGAAAACTAGTATTCCCCTTCCTTCTGGGGGAAGTAATACAGAATTTACTGAGCTTTCTTCCCGTTTTGAAGCAAAAATTTAATTCTATTCACATAATAAGAGCCCAGGGATGAAATGCATCAGGTCGTTACCCTGTCCTTGGAGGTGTTCAAAGACAGGTTGGCTGGGGTACTGAACAACTTGGCCTAGTAGATGGTGTCCCTGCCCACGGCAGGGGGCTTGGAGGTCCCCTTCCAACCCAGACCATTCTATGATTGCTTCCTGGCTTTTAGCAACCTTTAGAAGTTGACACGTCCCACTGTGGGTAGTTGACAATTGGAGGCCACAGTCCGAGGTCCTGCATTTAGAAACACTTGCACGTGCACAGCTCTCTTCTCACAGCACTGTGTAGAGTGGGAAGCTGATTACTTTATTAGGCAATGATGAAGAATTTTTGTTTGATGAAGATGATGATGAAGAAATCCGTTTTTTTGCCTTTCTTCCCACAGTGAAAAAGTTGTTACTAATGAATGCGGCTTAAAAGATTCAGTACTGCAACTATTGAAAAATATGTCTTTTTTTCTTTGTATTTCTGATTCTTTCCAGTGACTTCTTGTTTCCTCTATGTTTTTTTAAGGTTAGCCAACAAATGGAGGTGGCTGCTCCCCAAAACAGTAGTTCCTTACATAAAGAATAAAATTGAATTGGAATTGCAGTTTTGCAGCTTCTGTTGTTGTAGTGTACATTACCTAATTTTCTTTACTGGTACATAAATTGCATATAGATGTTTAAGGGAATTTATAGGCACCTGGAAATTTTTTTTTTTTTTTTTTGTTATTTATTTGGTTCACAACCCATGAACCCATTTTATAGACTATAAATAAATGATTTTTAACAGTCCCACCTTTCAGAAATTCATGCTTATGGACTGAATAATTTTCACTTGTTTTCCACTGTTGTTCTTAGTTTTAAGTTCCTTGAATGTATTGATGATGCACCTTCTGTGTTCTTGGTTTTTTAAGAAAATAACCATTTTCTTGGTGCTCTCATGACCTGATGCCTGGGGGTTTTTTCCCCCCTCTGTATTTTTAAAGCAGAATCAGTTCTGTTCGTTGTTCTGCAATGTCTTTTTCTTTCTATTAAAGCTAGTGTTTTAATTTTAGGAGTCTCCTACCACATATTATTCCAGGATAGCTGACATACAATAGTTAACTCTTCAGGAATGTTCCCAAAGGGAAGAGTGCCATTCATCTATATGCTAGGACTTCTAATGATATGTCAGGATGTGGAAAAGTTTTCTGTTAAATTTTGTTATCAAAGATGGCTTGTCAAGTAGGTACTAAATGACTAAGGACTGCTAAAGATCACTGGAACTTTGTCTAAAATGTTTTCTGAATTCCTTCCTTGAAGGAGACCTGTTTTTTAAATCTGATCAGCGTACCTCAAAACACAACCTTGTGCTATTAATAAACAAATACCTATTAGGTTTTCTGCTACTGTTATAAACATTTTGAAATTTAAAATCCCATTATTCATTGCATTGGGTGTTATCTGTTGCATTTGATCATTACTGCATTAGACCCATTCAAAGAGAAACAGTTTTGCTTTAAATCTCCAAATTCTTGTGATGGACAGTGAGATTAAACTGTGTTGGGCTAAAAAACATAATGACTCATTAAGCATCAAAGTGAGATTTGTAGGTATAAAAGAGTGATTGAGGGATATGCCAACATTGTTTGCCACAACACAGCATTAGATACTGCTTTTGGAAGTAAAAATTTCTTTTTGCAAGGTTGGGCTACATTTGGAAGGCTGTTTTTCCTAGAAGAAAAAACCCGCAGAATTTGTTGCACAGCCCAGAAGCATTACATCAGTTACCTTACCTAAATGGAAGAAAAATTGTGATTGTGGAAAAAAGTAAGACTTACTAAATAAGAATAATTTCAAATGTATACATGGAATCGTACTATAGAAGAAAGGGAATGTATATATGTGTATATAAGATGGAATATGAAATATTCCACCTGAAAAATTTGGGATAACCTTATATATTTTGATTATTTCTTAGTAATGTATATTGGTTAAATGTACATTAAATATCTGAGGCAAATATTGATCTTTAACGCAAAACAAAACTGTTGATAGTTGTGTAAGTGTTAGAAGGGGAGCATGTAAAAGGCTCAAGAGAACACATCAGGTCTGAGATGCATAGAATATACTTTCAGTGTGTATTCAAAATGTTTATATAGAAGGTATTTCAGCATATTTTGACTCATTTTTAAATATTTTTTTTAAGTTTCCTGAAGCAACTCTGTTGTTAATCTGAAATAAACTTTTACTTGTCTTCAGTGTTCTTATGGTGGTTCTCTAAGGGAAATATATTTTTGCATACAGACTGATGAAATATATTTATTGATTGTGTTCCAAGATTTAAGATTAGGCAACAGTGTATTTTTTTCTTTTAGTGTAACTCATCATCTTATTGATAATAGCAGAAGTTCTAACTGATTTAAAGAAGGAAATATAGAAAATGTTTCATTTGTCAACATAAATAGTATACCATAACCACAATAGTCTTTCACCTACTAACAAAAAGAATATAATAAATGCATCTACAGCACAAAATGTAAAAATCAAAGACTATGTAATCAGAAAAAAAAAATAATAGAAATTTTTACTGCAATAAAAATTAAAACATAGCAAGAATTCAGACTGTTACTTAAGGCATGTCGGGCATCCAAAACCATCCAGCATACAAAACATACTGTGCGTTTATGCACGGGGGCAAATCCTGCCTCTAATCTCTTGCTTTTCAAA